GAGCAAATGTCTCTAGGGAAGTTGGAAGATTCGCCTCATACCTTGGTTCTCAACCTTCCTAACACTGAGACCCTTTAATGCAGTTTCTCATGTTGTGGTGACCCCCAACCACAAAATTATTTTCGTAGCTACTTCATAATTGTAATTTTGCTGCTGTTATGAATCGTATTCCGATATTCTTAGGCAACCCTGCTAGTGGTTGTGAACCACAGGTTGAGAACCACTACTGCAGAGTCAAAGACCATTGGAAAACACAGATATTTACATTACAATTTAAATTACACAGATATTTAAATTATAGATATTATATTTACATTACAAAACACTGATATTTGGCTCTGTTGACTAATGAATTTGCTACCACTGACCTAGGCTATCTTATTATTTGTTTGCCTTCAATTAACCAAGTCTTTTTCTTTAAAAAAATTTATATGTATGTACCATTTATTTGGTTTTGTTTGAATAAAGATAGTATAATAGCTAACAGGTTTTGTTTTTTTTTATTTGCAAGGGCCAAGCATCATTAAGTGCTAAATGAGCTGATTTTTTTTTCTTTCAATAATCTTATAAGGATAGTACTATAATTATTCCATTTTACAGATGAGAAAACTGAGGCATAGAAATAAGTAACATGCCCAAAGTCACACAGCTAAGATCAAACCCAGGCAATATGGCTGCAGAGCGCATGCTCTTAACCACTAAACTATACTGCCTCTCAAGACCTAATCCACTCATCTGCAAGAAAAATGAATGTTGTTTTGGTGAAGCTAGACAAAACTGTTCATCAGCTAGTCAGACAAAGCAGGTCAGATTGTCCTGCCAGGGAAATGTCCTGGGAGAAATTGTCCTGTCCGGGAACAAACCTGGAAGGCCTTTTCTTTTCAAGAAAAGGAATACTTGATTTGATTTTACCTTTTTTCTCTCCTCACATCATTGGCAACCCCTTCCAATTTAAGGTCATCTGAAAATTGAATTAATGTCTTGTTTACCTCCTCTTTCAGGTAATTTAGACTCTGGGCTCAACATTGAACACCTCACAATGAGTCTACCCATAGACTCACATGGCAAAAGGATATTCACTTTTTCATGGACAGACTTTGATTTGCATTATACAGAGTGTTTATGCCCAGTACTTTCTTACAACCCAACATACTGCTTGTCACTTTCAGCCCTATCTTTTCTACTCTTTCTTGGTGTTTCCAGTGATGTGCTCTAGCTCCTCTTTATTATGTTCCTGATATTTTTCGAATACCATTATATTGATAATCAAGAAATTCTTATAATAAATTGAATCCAATTTCTCATTCCCTTAACATTTACATTAGGGATTATGAACAGGAAGTGAAATCCTGAAGTTCCTTTTATCAATATGATTCCTCATCAGTTTCTAAACTCAGGGGTAGCACATCGGTATTGATTATTCTAAAACCAGAATAACTTTGGTGTGTAGTGACATACTGTGGTCTGCAGGTCTGTGGAAGTATACCATTATGCTGACAATTACTCACTTTTGAGTCAGGCTGCCTAGGTTCATCCTTTGCTCCGTCTACTAACTGTGACCTTGGGCAAGTTGCTGAAGTTCCCTGGGCCTCAATTTTCTCCCTTTTTTGGGGGGAGGAGGGATGCTCAGTTTCTTTAGATTTAAAATGGGGATATCTCTAAAGATATTGCAAAGATTACTTGAATTAAGTATTTAGAACTGTGTAGAACCTGGAAAACTCTGTAATATTAGCTGTTGTTTTGTTTGTTGCTGTAACTTAGGGGGGAAAATTATTTCCTTTCATTATAATAGTCGTAAAAATGCTTTCTAAACAAGATTTATTTTATTTCATTTAAATGGTTAATTGCGTATGATATACTTTTACTTTTTCTGTATATAATTTATTGACTGTTAAAATTTGTGATTAATTTATAGCCAATTCAGAGGAGTATTTTTATGACTCTTGTAATGTTTTAATCAAATGACACTGAAAAACAATCTAAATAAAGATGTCTTAAAACATTTTTCTTTGCTTTCAAGAGCCAAATGAGTGAAATATTCAAAACTCAGTGTTTTCCTTGGGTTATAATATTTTTAAATATTTATTTAATTTTAAGAAAGAAGTTATTTGGTTTATTTGTAAATATAGGAAAAGACAGACACACCCACTGGTATGTAAGTACATTCAGGTGTATTAAGTTGCCGGTCCCTTATCCCCTTTAAAATGTACATACTGCCATCTGCTGGAGAGAACTTTTGTGTAACATTTAGATGGCGTGGGGGGGGAATTAGTGTCAGTTTTTGTTTTTTGATAAGTTAAACTGTATCTTTCATTCAATTAAATACATTGACATTATGAGTCTTCATGTCTCTTTCAGGAAAAACTAAGATGGGGGCAGTTGTTTTTCTAGCTCTCTTCAGGTAGATTATGAAAATACATCCACAGTCCTTTAAAGCTTTTTGCAAAGATAGGTAGAGAAGTGCTAAAGTACTTTATATTATGCTGAGGACAGTTGTGTGGCATTTTGCTTGATTGAAACAACTATGTGATGTAGGCAGAACAAGTTCAATTAAAATTTGTCAAAGAGAAAAAGAGGATCAGAGAGGTTAACTGACTAACTGAGGTTACTCAATTTGTCAGTGGCATAGCTGGGATGAAATTACAGGCCTTTGAATAGCTAATCCAAAGTGCTAATTATTTATCCAACGCTTATCATATCCACTATGTCTCAGAGTATAAAAACATTGCATCCTGTTACTGATAAGGCTTGGCAAGATGAAAAGCAATCAAATTATTAAGCTCACTTTAAAAGTAAATAATGTACAGGAAGCCACTTTTTAAACCTGGAAATGCACAACATTAAGTGGTTTCCAGTACTTTGTACAATGCAGACACCTAATAGTTGTTGATTTGCCACACTGAAAGAATACTTCCTTCTAAGTATGCATATACTGCCTTAGATGCTATCCATAAAGTTTAAATTTACCCTCTGACAGTTTCATGAGTGTGTGTTGACTTAGAATACTCCATAACTAATTTTGGTTCTATCAGAATCCTATTACCTAATTGGCTTGGCATAATTAGTGTAGCATAAAACACACACACACACACACACACACACAATAATAATAATAATAATCTTTGACTTTTGTTAAATAAATCTTTTCTCTTAGTGAATGGTAAATTTTTAAAGTGCCCCTTTATTCCATCATTTTATATTATATAAGTAATATTTTCATGAAATATATTTGTGTAATATTGCCATTGACAATGTGAATTTTCTCCATTATAGTTTCTTGGCAATGTACTGATTTTAAAATTCACCAAATACAAAGGTATCTATTAATTTAGGGGGTAATAGATGTACATCATACTAACTCATCTCTCACAAGTTATTTGCCATTATCACCAAAGTTTGTTAATTGTATGTTCCTAGGACTTTCTGGTGAAGGTTTTTTCCCCTGTAGCATTTAAAAGTGCAGCTGTCACTGCTATCCTGCAATGGCTGTAAGTTCCTCCCTCCTTTCCATCACCTCTGCTCCAGAAATCAATTCACTTTTTTAAAATTTAGTTACTTTTCTTTAGTTTCCATTTGTATTCTCCAATTTTTGTTCACATTTTAAAAAGTACTGGTGATGCATATTTTATAATGTATTTACTAACATTGCTTTCTCTTTTTTTCTATCATTGCATTCAACCTTTTTGTTTTTTACATTGAAAGTTACAATGAGCTAAGTAGGTGTTGAGTGAGACCATGTTGCTAATTCCAAGCAGATGCCTTTAGTCCACATTGAAGAGTTTGGTTTTCTAAGGTGTTCTATGAAGTCCCATTTGATTCTAGAAACATTTCATTTGAGATTTCTTGGCCTATATCTTGGTGAATGTGGCATTTCACAATTTTATGATTCATGAGGGTTTTGTTTTTTTTTTAGACCATTCTACCATTTTTGAGTTATATTTCTTTTAAAGCCTCTTTCTGTAAGATTTTTAAAATTTGAAACCTATTTTTTTTCTCTGTAGGTTTTTAATTTTCCATGCTTACTGTCCAAACCTCCTGGACCTCAAGTGGAAATGCAGTTGGTTTTCCATCCCCCTTTTAGTTATTACAGCTAACTTTGTAATCCAGTTGGGTAGCTTCGCCTTTCCCATTCCTGCTGGCATCTCTGAACTTATGAAGTGTTCCTCGTCACACTAATTTGCACTAGATTCCACAGAAAATACAGAAACAGTCCACTTTGGATTCATATCTGCCAATAACTTTCTGTGTGTTTTTGTATGTCAATATCTAAAGGCTCTCTCTTCCTCATTTGTATAAAATTATCTTGGACTATGTATGCTCTCTGAGGTCCCATAAATCCTAATATCTAGGATTTCACAGTATAACCCATCACTTTTAGACATTTCAGTGTAACTCTAAATATTAAATAAAAGCAAGTACTCAACTCTGCTTTTCTGAGCTCTTTCCAGGCCTGACATGCACTCATCTGATATGCACTCACACAATCACATTAGTAATTCAAATATGGAAGAACTCTTATTCTGTTGGACTTGTAAATAATCATTGCCAAGTTGCTGCATTTCTCTGGGGGAGGGGCACTGAGAGGCTCCTATCCCTGAACACAGGCTCTGCTTCCATGGGCTCTCTCAAGGGACACACCACCCCAGCTGCCACAGCTAGCAGAGGCTTCACCAGAGTCACCCTCTAGTGGTTGCTTTTGGTAAATGTTACATGTGGATTTTAGCACATATTGACTAACTACAGTAGTTTAATGAGGCCTTTTTAAAGCATATTCTCTATGTTCATAATATTTCAGAGTGTGCAAACTCAGTAATTCACATACTAACAATTATCCCAAAGCTAAAAATGATCTCATCTCAGAGTTCAATTTAAACTACATTTTTCTAAAAAATGATTTGACTTCAGTACTTATAATTACATGGCTGTTCCCTTAGTTATAACACATTTGACAACGTTCTCTGTGTTCCCTTTCTTTTAGTAATTATCTGCTTTGCTTCTAGGTGAATGAAATTTACCATGATGAGTCCCTCGGAATACATATAAATGTGGTCCTGGTGCGCATGATCATGCTAGGTTATGCAAAGGTAAGCTGTCTTACAAGATGTGAACTATGATGTTAAGGACTGGGTCAGCAAGTAGAAGATTAAATTATTGAAGCTTCAGTCAAAAGATGGCATAGATAAGTCTCATGCAAACCTCAGTTTGATTAAAAAAAAATAGCCTCAGTGTGAGTAGAGATCTCCAACTTTGAGTGGGTAATCAATGATTTGTGTGCTGGTACCATTCCCTTTGTTTATCTTTGTAATCGAGTAGTAGATAGTTATCCTGACATCAAGCATGATAATAAAAATGGATACCATTGTGAGGAAAGAGAATATCTTAGTCTTATCATTATTATAAAATTTATTATTCATTTTTTTCTTTCCAAGCATAATGAGTGTGTGACAGATGCTTTCTAGGTGCTTCGGATATATCAGTGAAGAAAAAGGACAAAGATCCTTCTCTCACATGATTTGTTTTTTAAAAGTAAAGCATATAGTGAGTATTTAAATTTAAAAGAGCTTCGGTCCTTTTGAAAATTAAATGTTAGGTCAAAATGCACATAGTAGGCACTTCATGTGAAGTAACTAACTATAGTTGACTTCATACTGGCACTAGATGTGTCCCTGATCTTGGAAATAATGCAAAGGATGAAATGGTTTCTCCCTTTGGTGAGAAAATATTGGGAAAGTGATAACTTGGCAATTTTCTTGATGTTTAAAATTATATACCCCTCCCATAATTAATTTTTTTATTATGAAATACTAATGAAATTATATGTTAAGCAAATAGAAAAAAAATCCACAGGCTTGCATTTCATCATATATTTAACATCCACTTATCATTTTCCAATAAGAGGGGTCATTGATCTTTCATTTATCCCATAAACCTGACGGACTTTGCATTGATGACACTGAATCCAAGTCAACTCCAGCAGGAGATGTTAACAGCCTTCATTGTCTGTTACATTATTTTCTTGGAGAAGTTTGCGATCAGCATATAACAAACCTCGCTAATTTTGTTAAGAATGTAAACATTGATAACAACATTTGCTGAAATATAATAAAACTCTCAGCCTGCCAGCCAAGCAGGGACTAATTAATTTGGGGTTGCAAGTTCAATTTCTCATTCCAGCAGAGCTACTCTGGGAAGTGTGGCTCCTGGTTCTTGAGGGATGGTCCCTTTCCCCCTGAAGTTTTAACTCCTGGTTGGTAATGTGACAGTAGCAGCATTCCAAGGAACTCTAATCCTTCTATTGGAACAACAAGATAAGTCTACACCCCTACCTCTCTCCATTGCTGTGAGCTTAAAAAGGAGAGTTGGTTTTCACAGTGTGAGGTCTATAGAATTTGACCACTCCCCATTAACTAAGATTTGACCAGCTTTGCCAGCTCATTGAAGAACTTATATTCTCCCCATATGTTGATTAATGCTGGACCCTTCCCAACAAAAATCTTAACTCAAGATCTTTTACTAAAACAGCTCTGGATAAAAGTCTCATACCAGATCTTTCCTCTGTTTTTATTCTTAATACCTGTGAAACTAAAAATCTAAGCTGAATTAGGAAATATTTAGATTACTAGGAGTTCTTAACCCCATGACTAACATTGAGTTGCCTCACAATAACAAATCTCAGCATCACATATTACCATATATGGTGTCAGTCACCTTTCACACAGGATTATCGTAAAGAGCTTCTTCCTGGGCATTTAAAATTCCCAAACTAAAGTAGGTATCTAAATAGCTCCCAAATAATATTACTGAACATTATTTAAATGCTGTAATCCCAAATGTTAACTTCAGCTAAAGTTATTAAAAGAAGCCTTTGGGAAAATGTTATGTGCGTCTTCAACATATTATTCCCTCTCAGTCCATCAGCCTTATCGAAAGGGGAAATCCATCCAGAAGCTTGGAGAATGTGTGTCGCTGGGCTTGCCAACAACAAAAATCGGATCCCAACCACTCTGAACACCATGACCATGCAATTTTCTTAACCAGGCAAGACTTTGGACCTGCTGGAATGCAAGGTATTTCCATTCAGGTGTAGAAGAAAAACTTAAGGGCATGACTTTTCCAAAGCAACCTTAAATCAGGGAGTCTGTTCAAATGTTCATTTTATATCTCTCCCTCCATCTACTTTTTATCGTGCATCAGCCAAGCATACGTTTTCTTTCTATTGCTTCCAGTGACTCCTGTGGAATTCACTGTATTAGATGCCAGTTGGGTTCCATAATAAATTATGCTTGCCTTTAACATAATGATTGTGCATTGTGAGGTGTGGAGGAGGGGCTGTAAAATGCAGTGTGATCTCCACTCAGCCTTGGAATGGGAAGAGAGATGCCATGAGAAGTGACTGCTGCCAAAGAGCTCTCTTCTGAAGGCAACTTACAGTGAACTAATACATTCCGGGGTGGGCTTTGTAAAAAGCAGACCAACAATTTTCTTTTCAATGTTGATGGAATTTCTGGCTCCCTTCATTGGTACCATGATATGAAGGACCATTCACTAAACCAGAAAGACAACGCTTAGTTGGTAGGCAGAACAGAATGTTAATCCCAGGCAGTTCCTTCCCTTATAGAAAAGGAGAAAATGCAGACCCAGTGAATCTTTTCAAAGACCATTACCTGTCGCTTTCCCAAGAGAATGTGGCACATTGCTAGCGGGGAATAATACTGCCTCTGTTTCCTAAAAAGCTTTTTCTTTTCTTTTTTTTCCTAGGCAAAGGTCCAGTAGTAATTCTTAATGGGTTCTCTCATAAAATGAAAATAAAAGTAATTGTTATTCTCTACAGGATATGCTCCAGTCACAGGCATGTGTCATCCAGTGAGAAGCTGTACCCTGAATCATGAGGATGGTTTTTCATCTGCTTTTGTAGTAGCCCATGAAACCGGCCATGTGTAAGTCACTGTTGACAGCTAGAAAGCCAGAAAAGGTCTTTTCTTCCCTGCTTTTCTCAGCATTGTTTGCAGTGTGGGCAGAGGGCATGCCAGCATGCAACTCCCATCCCTTGCCAAGTGTGAGGAGCTGAGACACGGAAGAGGTCATGCACGGAAACCAAATGAGCAACTCTAGCTGCAGACACCCTTGCACTTTTCACAGCTATAAAATTAGAAAGGCATTTCTGTCCAGTTCTCTATTCCACAATGCCTGCGGCTCCTCCACAACAGCCATGTTCCCTTAAAAAGTATGTATTTCCCTATACAGTAAGCCCTCACTTAATATTGATGATAGTTTCTGCAACTTTAAGCAGAATGACTCGTAATGAAACCAGTTCTACCATAGGCCAGTCGGTACAAACCAGTTATATTTCTTCGGTATCTCATCAGTTATAAGGAAAGGGCATCACACAGAATGACATAATTGAGGACCTACAGTATTTATTTTTAAAACAGAAAATAAGCAAAAGCCTTGGCCCCTGTGATTCTTACCAGTGAGATCTCACTTTGTGTTCCAGGCTGGGAATGGAGCATGATGGACAAGGCAATAGGTGCGGCGATGAGACTGCGATGGGAAGCGTCATGGCTCCCTTGGTGCAAGCGGCGTTTCATCGTTACCACTGGTCCCGATGCAGCGGCCAAGAACTGAAAAGATACATCCAGTGTGTCCCTTTCTGCATGTCCTGAGAGCATGTATATTCTAGCAGAAATACAGAAAAACAGAGATGGGAAACTGACTCTTAGCATCTTCTTCCTACAAAACTCACAGTGAATGAAAACTGCTGTTCACAGTAAACATTTTCTTATGATTCAGAGCTGTTGGCACAATCCCAAAGGGATGAGACCTAAACCAACAGTCGGACATCCCCCAAGGGGAAAGGGTGCAGGCTGGGCTGAGGGAACACCCCCTCCGTGCACAAATTTTGTGCGCCAGGCCTGTGATTCCATAATACAATCACAATATTTTAAGCCATAAGCCTGGAAATTTAAAGCCTGATATTTAACTATGATTTTTGTTTTTAGTAAATTCTTTATGGAATCTTTGACAAATGGTCATATTTGAGTTGAGGACGAGGAGATGGTCCTGTGATGCCTTCATAATAGCACCTACATCCTGTATTATAAGTGTCACACTCTGCAGGAGCTCCAGGACATGAAAAAGGATGTCACAGTTATACTGCATCCCGAAGTCCTGTTTGACTCCTTTTCCTGGGATGAATAAGGGTGAAGGGTCTTGTTTAGGAATGGAACTAAAACCAAAAACCTTTAAAGATAAGCTTTTGTGTCCTTGCTCTGATCTAATGAAGTTTCAGAGTATAAAACCTATGGGTAGTTTTTTCATTAGAACAACATAAAAAGAATGAACATTAAACTACGTGTGATGTTTTCCTTTCTACAGTTCCTATGACTGTCTCCTTGATGACCCATTTGAACATGATTGGCCCAAACTCCCAGAACTTCCTGGAATCAATTATTCTATGGATGAACAATGTCGTTTTGACTTCGGGGTTGGTTATAAAATGTGCACTGCGGTATGTTTCTCACAATCAATTTAGATCTTGCTGCTTGAATTCTATTTTGTGTAGCTCCTGTTTGTCAAGCTTTACAGACTCACTGGTGTATGAGAATTTCTTCCAAGGATTTTGTGTTTGCCATGTCACTGCGTATTAAACCTTAATGCTTTAAATATACTGTCTTATTAATACTTGTGACAGACTAGATGGAAGTTGGTATACTTGTATTTTACAGATGAAAAAGCCAAGCTTTACAGAGTATAAGCAACTTGCTTAAATTGCACATCTGGTAAATAGGAGAGCTGGATATTGAAACCAAGGTTGTCCAGCTCCAAATTTTATGCTCTGTTGCTTTTTTGGTTTTTGTGACCTTTAGAGATGACATTTAAGCCTTAGGTAGGTTGCTTTTCATTAGCTTGTTGGGCAGGATTCCATGTAGCTGTGAGCACAGAGAAGGGCAATACTAGTTTATTCTCCTGTGAGAATCACGTGGTAGAGCATGGAGGTCAGGACTACTGGCTTCATAGTCAGACTGGTGAGTCATGAGGGCCTGGACCCAACACTTACTAAATGTATGATTTTGAGCACCTTCTTCAAACTCTCTGTTTAGTTTCCTCATGTGTAAAATATGGATAATCATAGTGTTCATCTCACAGAATTGTTGTCAGGTTTCAATTTCATAATATAACTAAAGTGCATGGCACAATGGCGGGCACATAACCGATGCTCAGTGAAATTCACTAGAGCCAGTCTTCCATGTAGCTATTCGGTTTAGAGGTAGGTGTCTTTAAATTTCCATGTTGAGGATGTAGTAGTTCACTACAAAAAATGCCTTTTTTGTATGTTGGAGAAAGCTTTATGTGTTATAGCAAAAAAAAAAAAAAAAAAAAAAAAAAAAAAAAAGATAAAACAAAAGAAAGTATTTCATGGTACTGAAAGAAGTTGATCTGATGTTTCAAATCTTCCATTTGCTGATAGCGACAGCCATGAGCTTGTCTATGAACTATACATTGCCAGCTCCTAATCACTTGCATTAAAGTGATTGAAAATCCCTTAAGTAATAGGGATTAGAACAAAAAACCCAGGTCCAAAATGAGTACTAATGGAGAAAAAGTTCTGACCAATAAATTGGTGGTATAGGCAATTACATATGAATAAATTGGTGTTGGATATTTTTTTTAAATCTATCTGAAGAATGGTAAGGTGTTTATAGTTAGAAGGAGAACAGATAAGAGCACACACAAATATGTATGCTGACACATACATTCAGGTACTATAATGTGGTGTTTCGGGAAAATTTAAAAAAAGTGTTAAGATTGAGAAAAACTGACTCCAGTTGGGCTGTTACTGTCCCACATGTAACCATAGTGATAGCCTTATCTTATAACCCTTGTTTCTCAGCCATGGATTGTTGTGAGACTCAAATGCATAGAAGGTATTTTATAAACTACATGAATGTATTGTAATAATTTGTTACACCTAGAATATGTTATCTTACATAGAAAATTTGACAGATATTTTCTGCTTTTAGTCAGCTCATTATAATGGGCATTTTTATTATTTATATCTGACTTAATCCATACTTAGGGGTATAGAGAAGCTGTTTTGATAGCTCGAAAGCTATAAAACCATTATAATAGGTTTTCACATTTAAAATGTTCATAATAACTACTATTTTAAATTCTAATATTGTCTACTTAAAAACCAGAAAATAGAATTGGCATGTAGAATTACTGAGTCAACCGGAGACTTCCAGACAAATCATTCATCACTGTTATTTTAGAAAAGCAGAATAAAAATATTCTCTGCTTAGAATCCTTAGACATTAGTTTTTTTCTCTCAACATGCCACAACTTAGGCTATTGGCTTGAAATTGAAACAGAAGATGTTGGTGCATGTCCTACTATCTGTATTTCATTGTGATTTTGATTCTCTCTCTTTCAGTTCCGAACCTTTGACCCATGTAAACAGCTGTGGTGTAGCCATCCTGATAACCCCTACTTTTGTAAGACTAAAAAGGGACCCCCACTTGATGGGACTGAATGTGCTGCTGGAAAAGTGAGTCTGTACTATTGAGATTTAATCACCTTTCAGAGTCTGAAAAATGAGGGACATAGCTATATTGTCATTTTTATGAGGACTATAGCACGTGAGGTTTCATTATGGTAATGTACTAATATTAATATTATAGAGTAGCTTCCAACGACTGCTCTAACAGATTACCATAAGCTCAATGGCTTAAAATAACAGTAATGTATTTTCTCACAGTTTCTCTGAGCTAAAATCAACATGTGGGCAGGACCATACTCTGTAATAGTGTCTGTTCTTGCCTCTTCCTCCAATGGCTGACCACATTCCTTGACTTATGGCTGCACCATTCCAATCTCCAACTTCATGACCACATTGCTCCCTTCTCTTCCTCTGTTTGCAAATGTCCCTCTGCCCCTCCTCTTATGAGGATAGATACACATGATGACATTTAGGGCCCACGTGGATAATGAAGGATAACCTCCCCTCAAAGCTCTTAATTGTATCACACCTACAAAAGACTCTTTTCCAAATAAAGTAATATTTACAGATTTTAGGACCTGAGATCTTTGGGACTATTCAACCCACTACTGATAGATCATGAAGCAGCGGCTCAGCAGACCAACTGGGACCCTGTTAATGGGATTTGATTTACTTGTTGGCGTCCCTCTCCTTGTGAAAGTTGTCCAGAAATAAAGTCCTGTGAATTTATACAGAAGAGTTGGCCTTGCTCCTTTGGGGAAAGATGCCCAGAGGTTTTAAATCTCAAATTGTGTAGTCAGGATTGATTGCTCAGAAACTGGCCAAGTGCCATGCTCCTTACACATAAGGGGAAAGATCACCCATTCCAAAACAAAGGCATGTTAAGAACTCAAGTTGAAGTGCCTTTACTAGTTTGGAAATAAGATATGGTAGATAGGATCAAAAGCTGGCATTGATGATTCATAAAGCTTTTAGTTCTTTTAATGCCCTTTAAAACTCTGTTGCCAATTTGTATAAACTGGACTTGCAATGAGGATTGCAAGCATAACAATAATGATAATAATAATAATAATAAAACAAAACCTGCCATTATTCGTGTTTATTTTTAAAATATATTTTATTGATTTTTCGAAGAGAGGATAGTTAGAAACATCGATGAGAGAGAAAAACTGATCAGCTGCCTCCTGCACACCCCCTACTGAGGATGTGCCTGCAAACCAAGGTACATGCCCTTGACCGGAATCAAACCTGGGACCCTTCGGTCTGCAGGCTGACGCTCTATTCAATGAGCCAAACCGGTTAGGGCCATTATTCATGTTTAAGTTTGTTAGGCACTATGCTAAATATATGTGTGCCACTGTGGGGCAATTTAGTATTACAATCTTTTGATTAAAAAAACAAGAGCAACAGTGAATTGATTCATTTTTGATTTATGAAAAAGATATCCTTCAAATGAACTCCAAACATCCAACTTCCTGAAACTCACTTGTATTATATTCAAATTTACCAGAGTTGAGTTGTAAGAAACACTTTTATTGTGGGATAAAAAAGCAAGTCAAAATGTTGGAAGGGAAAGAATACCTTTGAGCACCTGCTGTGTGCCAGGTACTGTCAGGTAGGTGCCTCCGTGTTGTCAGAGTCCTGGCATTTCCCACGTCATTACTTACTGGTCAGATGGTCTCATGTTACTCATGATCTTCTCCAGGTTCCAATGTCCCACATTACCTACTGTGCAAATTAGGTATCATTTTTATTGGTCACGTTTGATACTCACCAATAAATGTATCATATAAAGTTTCTTGAGAATGAATTACTTTTTTTCATTTCAATTTTATACTTAAAAACATACTAGTAAGTTTAAATTACCCTTTGTAGAGGGAACCTTATTGTTATAACTAGTGGCCTGGTGAAGGGATTCGTGCACTTGGGAAGGAAATTAATTAGAAGTAATATTTTAATATTGTGATTCACTCTTTATAACAGAAGTGTCTGAATTGAAAGAAAATAGTAAAATGCATTTTAATAGTAAAATAATATATAAATGATTTAAAATAATAACAACATGATATAAGAACAACAAAGACATAATATAAAAACAATAAAAACATGATATAAAAACAACTGGTAAAAACAATGACTGATACATTGATTAAACTTATTCTAATACTGAGGCTAGTGTAAGACAGGGACAAATAAATTTTTGGAATCAGAACAACCTCTCCTTCCTCAGATCCTGTTAATACTTCAATTTTGATTATGTTAGGTCACAATCTTTTGATAATAAATCTAGTACCATTACAAAAACCCTATTTACTATTAAGATTTCTCAATAGCATGATGATTGCACCTACTTTCAATTCTAATTTATGACATGGGATTCCCGAAGAAGTAACACTATTAAGAAATTTGATGGAGAAATTTTCCTTTATGGCATCATCTGTTGAATCTAGTATTATTGTAGATTACACTGTTGTCTCTCAGTCTTAATGCAATATCGGTTCCCCAGTCTTATTCACCATGTGGGAAAATGATAGTCATTGCAACTAATATAGGAATCAGGATACTGATTTGTTTCGTTTGAGTGGCATTCGGATTATTGGGATCTGGTTTACAATGAATGAGCAAGTCCCTTTCAAAAGGATGTCCTCCATCTTTATTTCTGAATATGATGGCAACTTCAGCTACATTGGGATAATTATATCTATCCATATCACTATTACAATCATATTTAATCACCATTGTTACTTCCATGTGATAACGCTGCTTTCTTTCAGCTTCAGAATGTCAACACAAATGACCAAATTAATAATTTACAATGACTGATTGAGACACACACATGCAATTTGTGCCAGCAAGAGCTTTATATGTGTCACAATGCTTGAGTCAACTTAGCCATTTTATATATATATATATATATATATATATATATATATATATATATATATATATATATATATAACTTGCTTAATTAGACCTGCTTTCTGATGTAGCTAAACTTTTTCCAGTCCAGTGAAGCACCCCAACTTCTCTTTCAGGTAGTTGTCAACAAAACAACACTAAAAATCAACATGAAGTAGATTATTGTTGTAGATCACATAGGGAGACCAAAGGGTAAAATATTTAACCGCAGTAGTGTTTGACTAGATTCTGCTCAGTGAGAAAACCTGAAATCATTTGCAAGGTCCTCAATTTCTTACTTCCTTTTTAGTTAGGTCAAGTTCTAAGCTTTCTAAATCTCTGTTTTCTGGCTAATGAAAAGAAAATAGGATTCCATTGAGTATCCTATCTACATACTCCAGGTCTTCCCTGAGGATCAAATGAGATGAGGCACATGAAAATGCTTCACAGACATTTGTTTAAACTGTGAAATGTTTGCATCTAGCTATAAAGCAAGTCATGTACCTGGACTGAAGAAACTCCAAGGAGGCTAGTTGCTAGGGAGAGACAGCTGTGCATTGCTATGTGATGTCATTACCCGGACAGTTGGACACTTAGCATATTAACTATATTATTGCTTTGGGGTCATTTTAAATACATTTCCACATGGTGGAGGTTGGAGGAATGAAGCCCTTTCATTGGTGGTTCTTAACAACTTTAGCTTTAGCATATGCATGATTTTCATAATTGCCCTTTGTCATTTTCCTAAGTGGTGCTACAAGGGCCATTGCATGTGGAAGAATGCTAACCAACAAAAACAAGATGGCAATTGGGGGTCATGGACCAAATTTGGCTCCTGTTCCAGGACGTGTGGAACTGGTGTTCGTTTCAGAACACGTCAGTGCAACAATCCAATGTGAGTATGACCCCTGTAATTCTGTCATTTTTGTAAAGGCTAGGAAATGCTTCAGTATAATGTTATTACTATTTCGTATACTACATGTAAAATACATAGCATGAAAACCAAGGCTTTAAGTGTCTATTTTGGATAAATCTCCATTTATCAATTTTGTGAACTGTAGATGAGAGGCTCAAATGAAGATTAGAGATTTTTGAAGAAACGGCTGTTTAGGAATAAAAAAAGAGTTGAGTAGGGAAGCCCATCACTGTGCTTAGAGCCTGGGCACCAAGGCCATTAGACCCCCTGTTAGAAGCACAGGTATGTCACGGTGGCAGTAGCACCAAATAAATATGCTTACTCACTTGGGTTAGAAGAGGGATTCTTCGGAGCAGGGCAACAACAAAATAAAGATGGTAGAAGAAGACCAAAGAGCTGTTTGGGCAAAGTTATCAACTTATTCACTCAGACTAAATTGATTGAATTCCTATTGGGCACTCAAAAAAAATTATTTTCTAAGGGAAAAAATAACCAAAATATTAACCTTAGGACATTCATCCTTGTCTAGAGTTTAAAATGTGAGTATCCCTGTGTGTCTGGCAGCAGAAGGCTGTGAACATGTTTTTTATAAAGACTGAGGTCACATACATGTCTTCACAGGAAGAGATGATGGTAGTAGAAATCAATAAAGCAATAAAAATTACAGTAGTAAGAGCAGCTAAGTTTCACTATGAGCCACACTCTGTTCTAAGTGTTTTAAATATGTTAATGTATTCAATCCTCTCAATATTTCTCTAAGGAAGAAAAGATGGGAAATTGAGGCATAGAGCTGTGGTCACAGTCACTTTGGGCTGCAGCTACATGTTTTATGCATGGTAGAAAATATAAGTTTTTTGAGTTCATAACTATGTTTTTATTTCTTTGTAGATTTTTGCCATGCATTTAAAATATACTGTCTGAAAAGCCACTTGAAGTTGACTTTTTGGGCCCCCTCTCCGCCCCCAGCAGGGAGAGGATGGTGCTTTTGGAAAAGAATTGCAATTAGGAAGTATGAGTTCATTCACTTGGTGCTGGCAGCTCAGACACTCTGGCTTTCTGCCCTCCCTCGAGCACTGTGTCTGCAAGCTTCCACTGCTGGGCCAGAGCCAAAAGGCCTTTTTAAATGTTGTATTTTCTTTAGGCCCATCAATGGTGGTCAGGATTGCCCGGGTGTTAATTTTGAGTACCAGCTTTGTAATACAGATGAATGCCCAAAGCACTTTGAAGACTTCAGAGCACAGCAGTGCCAGCAGCGTAACTCCCACTTTGAATACCAGAACACCAAACACCACTGGATGCCCTATGAACATCCTGACTGTGAGTAGATGCCTGCCCTTTCCCCGCTGGGTGGATGGTTACTGAGAGTTTATGCTTTGTCTACACCAGTCCCTGGGACTCTTGATCCCTCTGTGGTAACTTAGAAATCTTGGTGCTTGCAAGGGTAAGTCCTTCTGGGTTTCCAAGAATAAGGTTAGTGTCCTCTCCAGAGCGGGAAGACTTGTGGAATAGTTCCTGGCAAGTAGCACTACCACCATTGCCTCTGAAAAGACCAGTGGAATGCAGACAAAATGAAAAGCCTGGGAGAGATGTTTCCTCATTCAATGGAAATCCCTCTACTAGGAAACACTTTTGGAATTTTGTTACCTGTCCTTTCTGAATAATTAGAGGGAATTACTGTTCTTTTACAGTTGGGTCGGGAGTAAGAAAAAGGCTAGTATTTAATGACAACAAAAACTTTACAACCTTTTTTACTTTTTGAAAAACACTTGGAAAACACCAGTTTTCGAAAAATACACTTGGAAACTCCTTTTAATGTTTCACTTGAATTTTAATATTCACTTTAAATGTTTAGCGTTACCCTTGAATTTTCAGTAACTTATGTTCAAATGAAAACTTCGTACCATATTTTTTAGTTGGAAGAATAAAAGAAAATAATTACTTGATTATCATGTTATATAGTACACTGCTGAGTTTAGTTTGAAAAACTGTTTTAAAAGAAAAATGCATCCATGTAGAAATTAAAGGTGCAATGCATTAGGAAGAAATGCATTATTTATTCAATCTATTTTGGTGAAACGAGTCACAGAATTTATATTAAACTTAATTGAGATTATACAAAGGCAAAAGCTGGACTAGGTCATTGGGATAAATGAAAGAGAAACCCTTTCAGCGCTATAAGAACCACTGAAAGAAAGTAAAGTAGTTCTGATTTAAAGCATTTGAAGAGCTGTGGCTAAGTCCAGGATTGGTGCACAACCTAGTTGGTGAGAAAGCTCCAGTTTAGATCTGTTGTCCCTGTGTAGTTACTACTAGAGCCCTTTTTCACTCTAAAGAGTATTCCAGTCTAGATGTTAAATCATATGGTCACCTGGTTGAAATATGTTAAATATGTGTAATTTCTTCTTGTCTTTATTTTATTTATTTATACCTCTTTTTGCTTTCAGGAAATCATGTTGAAACTTTATATTTTAAAAAATAAAACTATACTGTTCAAATATACCACTGTAAATAGTTGATTTAACTCTCCATTCTCATGCAGCCAAGAAAAGATGCCACCTTTACTGTCAATCCAAAGAGACAGGCGACGTTGCCTACATGAAGCAGCTGGTGCATGATGGGACGCGCTGCTCTTACAAAGACCCCTACAGCATATGTGTGCGGGGAGAGTGTGTGGTGAGCTCCCTGCAATGTATTGCAATTCTACTTCTACTGTCTTTCATCTGCATATTCTCAGAATTTTTAAACCATTTCATATGTGGGATATCACATTATGATGTAAATGTATGAATAGCTCATTAACAAAGCTAAGTCTGGGAGAAACTGCACTTAATAAAATCAAACTTTACTCACTGGCCGAATCAAGATGTAAATGTAGTTGTCCCAGTTCCCAGCCAAATCCTTTTCCTAAGTCACTCTGGTATCTGCAGGCTGGCAATACAACATGGGAACAATGCCTTTGCTTGGTGTTCTTGACCAGTAGCCATCTGCTGTTAAGGTACACTTAAAAAAAAAAATTCAATGCTTCATGTATTTTATATTTTGTTTAAGAGATAATAGAAACTTTCCTCAGGACAAAAATGGCAAAGATGCAAAAACTCATTTTTTTAGCCTCATTAATCTTTTTTTTAAAGGCAATTTTTTTACTTACTCATGTTCTTATATAGGGAACTATGGTTATTAACTGATCACATCGTTCCTGTTTGATTTCTTTTCACTTCAGAACAACTAGTGTAATATTAATTAATCTTACACGGACAGGTGCCTCATAGTTGATCTAAATTTTCCCTGAAAGTAAAATCTGTGTTTGGTCATCTTTCACCTCCCCCATGTCTCGCACATCAATGGGTGTGTGATAATTTTTTCCTCTGGCAATTTTATCTCAGACTTCTGAGTGCTGTGGCATGCCACATGTTTTTATCCTACACTGATTTACATTAAGGAGCTGCCCCAGCTCAGAAAACCTTCAGTAATTCCCAGTTATATATTAATGTGAAAATGTAAACACTCAAGGCCTTGCAAAGCTCTGTGCTTTGCCTTTCAAAACTAGGCACCCAAAGCTAGCCAAAGCTAGAAGAAGCCTATGAATTACAAAAAAGTACTGTTACCCCTAAGAGAGATGTTAGACTTATATACAAAATCTTCTATTTATATCTGTGTAGTAAAGAATTGAAAACCATAAAAAAAAACACAAAAAACCTGCATGTGATAAAAATAAATAAATAAGGCTAAATATTGTTCTCTGAACCCATTTTATGTGAACATACAATTTCCATAGCTCTGTTCTCCCTCCACATTCTTAAAATGTATTTCCACAAACTCGATTCCTTCAGGGACCTGTGAATTTCTCTACCACTTTGGTCAAGTTTTGTCTTCCATCCCTAGCCAACTTGTAAAGCTTGTACTAATGTACAACTCATGATTTTATTATTCATCTTTAAAAACATGAGAGCAACCAGGGAAACTCACCAACTTCCGTCAACTCGGCATCTACTACATTTGTGCTTAATACAAGTTTGATGATGATTACGACTATATGACTGGGGGAAGTTTATCTGGAGTGCTAGTCATTTGATTGCACAGTAGTTCATTAAAAGACTGAGGTATTTAATTCAGAGGCAGAATGAAAGTTTGGTGCACATGGCCTAACTGTGGGCTCCTGATTAAACAAAGTTATCATTCTCTCCGATACTGACCTTGACTTGACACATTAAGATTAGCCATATTTCATTTCTCTCCCCAGAAAGTGGGCTGTGATAAAGAAATTGGTTCTAACAAGGTTGAGGATAAGTGTGGTGTCTGTGGAGGAGATAACTCTCATTGTCGAACTGTGAAGGGGACGTTTACCAGAACTCCCAGGAAACTTGGTAAGATGAGGCCTCTCATGAATTTAGTATCCTTCTCTGTGATTTGTATATTTTGAGAATTTGTTTAAGAATGCAGCGTTTGCCGGGACCGGTTTGGCTCAGTGGATAGAGCGTCGGCCTGCAGATTGAAAGGTCCCGGGTTCGATTCCGGTCAAGGGCATGTACCTTGGTTGCGGGCACATCCCCATTTGGGGGTGTGCAAGAGGCAGCTGGTCGATGTTTCTCTCTCATCGATGTTTCTAGCTCTCTGTCCCTCTCAATTCCTCTCTGTGTAAAATCAATAAAATATATTTAAAAAAAAAAAAAGAATGCAGCGTTTTCTCTATAAACATAATAAAACATTAGCTGCTGATTTATTTTTATTCAGATAACTTTTTAAGGAAATATTTTTAAAAACTTTTTATGCTCCATAGCATTCATGATAAAAAGTTATCAAATTTTGATAAAGAACAAGTAAAATCACTATTAATTATAGAGATTAGATAAAATCTGTTTTGTTTAATTTGCTTTTAATAAAATATATTAGATCTAATTGATGCTTATTTTGAACTTTTTATTGCATATAAATTTTTAATCATAACTTAAAGAAATCACAAAACTTTAGATACAATTTAAAATATTACCGTGTTTCCTTGAAAATAAGGCATTCTCCGAAAATAAGACCTAGCACATGGAAAGATAAGACATCCCCTGAAAATAAGACCTAGCACAACTTTGGGAGAAAAAATTAATATAAGACACTGTCTTATTTTTGGGGAAACAGGGTATATTAATTTTACTTCTTTTAGTTTAAAAGTGAGTAGGTTTTTCTTATTTCTAAGTCTATAAATCTAGAGTCCATATTTCATGTACTTTTAAAATTTTTATATTAAACAAAATTGAGATACAAAATAAAATAATCTATGGTATAATTGCTTGTGCATGTTAACTTTTGTGCTTGCTATATAATTAGTGACCTGGTCTTAGTCATATGATATGGTGACTTTCACCAGGTGGAATAAAAACACAAAGAATATAAAAAATATTAGTAGTTTCATAATTATCCATTGGGATTTTCATAAAAATGTAGATGCAAACATTTATTACAAAATTTTTTAGTTTATAATAAATATTATTTTGTTATTCAATAAGTATTTATTAGGCAAATATTTCTGAGAATTTGACATTTAAAAATAAATTTTTTATGGTGCTTCCCTTGAGAAACTTCTCTTAATATCATCCAAAATAATACAAAATGATTTGGTATACTTTGAGTTGTGACTGTAATTTTCCTTTTTAAGAGAAAATAAATTATTTTTTAAAAAGTTGGTCTCCATCCAAATGGAATAATTCTCTTAATTCTTTTTATTTTCATTATACCTCAGCTATCCAACTCAAGTCAATTCCACACATCCCTGCTTTGCTTTTTAATATACTTAGGGTGGCAGAGCTAGGTGACTTAACTCCAGCTTGTTTTCTTAGGCATTCTTTATTCTAATTATTGATGCCTTTTTATTCCGGTGCGGTAATTTACTATATTTTGTGCTTTGAACATTGTTAAAAAGCAAATATTCCCTTTTTGCTGATTATAAAGCAAACAGAATTGGAATGTTATATATAAAAATAAATAATGATTTAGTATAGTAAAATATAATTTTCTCTATTTTATGAAGTGATTTACTGCAGTTATATATTATTTTAGATGTAAAATAATTTATTTTGTTTTCTTTTCAGAGTGAATGAATGTAATGAAAAATTTTAGACTCTTTTATTCTTTATATTGTGATAATATGAGCTAGTGATACTTTTTTGCAGACACCTCCAAAATTATGCTAAACCTGTGAATCACGGTCAGAAGAAAAGAAGAAAGTTTTCATCAGGCATACAGATTCAAACTGTTCAAAGATAATCTAACATCCACTTCTTTGCACTAAGGCTGTTAAAATCATTCAATAGACTAATTAACCTTTTCCAACAGGGAAACATTTAAGCAAGCGGTGCCACACAGAATTCGAGTTGCTGGAAAATGAAATCTGCAAGTATTCACCTTCAAATCACCTATCTCATTTTTCATTCATGCTCAGTCTTACTTTCATTGACTATTAACAGTTTATTGGCATTCTTTATTCTAATTATTGATGCCTTAGCTAACTATTGTGTAATGCATTTTGACTTCAACATATAAAATTACAGAACATATTTTTAACTTACCTAATAATATATAAATAGCTTATCGTATAGTCAATGAAACAGGAAGACTTTGATAAACATGAAAACCTCCACTAATTAAAGACATTCTATTTAAGGGAAGACCAGAGGCGCCTTCACTTTACCCAAAGGAGCTCGTAATGTTTCTCTTGCTGAAACAAGGGAAGCTAAAAATGTACTGGGTAAGTTGTAGCACACTGCAGAAAGATGGGCATCCATAAATGGAATCAAGCTGTTTTCCTGTCCTTGGCATCTAAAGCATGTTACTTGTAGCCATTGCACACTTAGGCAAACATGGTACTTTTCTTGTACTGAACTTTCCTTGGCTCAGGTGCTGAAACCCTGACCCCCAAATTACTATTCCATTAATTAAAGCCACTAATGAAATAATGTGAAAAGTTGGATAAATCTACCAACCCAAAGGTAGATGTTAATTGTCCATATACAATTGGCAAACATATTTCTTTCCAATTCCGTCAGCAGTTATGTATTTATAACTGAACTAGAAGGCCTATGCACAAAATTCATGCAGGAGCCTTGGCCCCGGCCCACACCCACCTCCTTGGCCTAGGGCCTCCACCCACTGAAGCTTTGTCCAGAAGGAAGAACGTCCAGAAGGACATCCAATCTAATTAGCATATTATGCTTTTATTATTATAGATAATAAAAACTAAAATTGTATTGGATGTTTTGTAATACAAGGTATCAGTTGCATCATCTTCCTCTATTTGTTTAATTTTTGACAGAAATTAGATATTACACTTAATTTATCTAATTGCCCCGCCTATAGTTAATAGAGTTGGGGTCTTAACTCTAAGTGATCTTAAGATAATTGTTAGGACATGTGATAATACTAAGAAGGTTTTTTATATATAAAACTAGAGGCCTGATGCATGAAATTTGTGCAAAGGGCTTGGCCCTCACAACCCTAGCTGCCTCAGGCCTCACGGTCCTGGCTTTGTCCAGAAGATCATCCGGAAGGATGTCCAAATGGTCGTTATGCTGTTTGGCCATTTGGTTGATTTGCATATTATGCTTTTATTATTATAAATGGGCTATAATAGGATTGACATATGATTTTAAAACTCAAGGCAGCACATTAAACAAATTGAATTTATTATTTTTTCATAAAGAATTCAAGTTGCTAGAAAATGAAATCTGCAAGTATTCATCTTCTAATCGCCTATATCATATCTCATTCTGTAGGAGATTGAGGTTAGGGTCTGCATGTAAAGTCAATGTTTCGTATAATTTGCAGACATTTTCCAAACAAATTATTTGGTCAAATTTACAATATATATTTTAAAATATCCCCATTATAAAACTGGTTTAAAGCTTAAAATTAATTGCTGATCGCAAGAAAAATGAAAGCTGCTCACTGATTTTTCTTTTCTTTTTTTTCTGATGTATTTTTTTTTAATTGACCACATCTCCATCTCCATCTTACTTGTTAAGATTTCTTACACAATATATATACTGATTTTTATTTTAAATTTTTTTTAGAACAAGGCAGGATTTTACAGATGAAGATAGCTTATTAATTAAAAGTTTAGTCATCTGTACTCATTGCTTAGACTTTTGAAAAAATATAGAGGCTGATAAAATATTTTCAGAAGTTCAACTAAATACTCTAAAAATTGGTCTTACTTCAAAAGAGTGGTTACAAAACTAAAATCATATTAGAGGGATGCAGGAAAGTATAGAATTTGCCTGAATGGTTGACACAATTCACAGGTTAACACAAGATAAATGGCTCATAGTTTAGAAACAAGATCAACTCATTTCTTCCTCTTTAATTAAAAAAAAAAAGGGAGGGGGGTCCCCTAATCTCATGCCAGATGTCACACAAGCTACCAGTGCTTTGAAGTTAACTTCTGAAACAGCTTCTTTCAGTTCATGTATGCCCTCTTCTGTGTGCAGGAGCAGTGAGAACGTAATGCTCAACTAACCAAGGTTGTCGCTTTTGTTTTCTCCTTTGCTTCCTACAAAATTTACTACACATGCAAAGGGTACCTTAAGATGTTTGATATACCCCCTGGTGCTAGACATGTGTTAATCCAAGAAGACGAGGCTTCTCCTCATATTCTTGGTAAGTGTTTCTGTCCACTGGCTCTGCTTTCACATGCATTTAAACATGGAACGGTCAAAGATATACCTATATCTATATCTGTCTATCTATCTATATCTATCTATCTATCTATCTATCTATCTATCTATCTATCTATCTATCTATAATATCTATCTATCTATGTATATAGATAGATTTATAGAGGGATATAAATATATATATATATATATATATATATATATATACACACACACACACACACACACACATAAATATGCAGGATTCAAGTTATATATAAGTTATATATAAATGCATTGTTGTGTGATTTTGTTGGTCATTTCTCCCAACTACTCTTCCTTTAAAACAAGAAATATTAAAAAATAGAGATTTAATTTTTGTTGAACCTTGATTGGTTCATTCTTTCATGAAGAAAGAAAAACCATTTGGCACATGTGTACATGTGCATTTTTTGCTCTGCATTAGGGGATAAGAAAACATAAATATGTTAAAATGCATTAAAGTAAGGAATAATATCAGAAAAATTTGCCATATTTATTTTGACAAATTAATTCTGATATTTTGGTTGATGCCATACTGTATGCCTCTCCTTAATTTTATTGCATTTTAAATTCTTTGACTGAAAAGCAGCCACATGTGAATTTTGCTAGTCTAATAAAAATTTCCCTACCATCTGCTATGTGTCCAGTTTCTGACTGGTACATGCAGATCCCTTTGCATGGCTGTTTATAATTTCCTAAAGAAGACTCTTTTGAATAACTTGAAAGAGATACACAGTATTCAACAGTAAATAAACCATTATGTTATAATAAGCCATTATATGCTGAACTAACATACATGATTTATATTAATTATTATAGAAGTATCCATTATTTTCAAAGTATTCCCAGGTTCTGAGGAAATGTCTAGGATTGAGTGAGTTTGAAACTGTTAACCTCTTTGATAGTGTTTTCAAATGGGAACATTTCCCAATTTTTATCTTCTATGTAACTTTCTTGCTATGGTTTTTGACTAGTTAGAAATCCTTCTTGGGGGTTTTAAATGGTTAATGAAGGAAAGGGGACACAGATCAGAACTAACACTCAGTTTGTCTTGTTTGATGTTAATAATCTCAGTCTTTGACATATAGAAGGGGAGAGTTAGACTTAGTAGGGGTCATCAAAGCTGCAGTATGATAAAATAAAATGTCTGCTGGTTACTCATTTTCCTTCCTTTAGCTATTAAGAACCAGGCTACAGGCCACTATATTTTAAATGGCAAAGGAGAAGAAGCCAAGTCACGGACCTTCATTGATCTTGGTGTCGAATGGGATTATAACATTGAAGATGACATTGAAACTCTTCACACAGATGGACCTCTGCATGATCCTGTTATTGTTTTGGTATGTGGCAGTACAGTACAGTATGTAGTTGATTTAGCTGCAATTTTGTTATTTATTTATTTACTTGAAAACACTTTTATCTTGAACAGTGAATATTTAGTTGCTTGTTTTTTTATAATTCCATTTACCCAGCCCTCTCCACTCTTTGACAACTTTGCTGTATATTTTATTATATACTTGTACATACAGCATAAACCTAATAACACAATATTATGATTTTTGACTTGAGTAATTAAGTACTTGTTAAAGACAAGAAAATATATACTTACCATTCTCAACATTCATTTTTTCTTATATATCTGACTTTCTACCAGATATCATTCACTTTTAATATTAAGAACTTCCCTTAACATTTCTTGTAGTGTGGGTATGAGCACTGGCAAAGAATTCTCTCAACCTTCCATTATCTGAAAATATCTTTATTTCATGTTTGTTCTTAAAGGATATGTTTACCAGATACAAACTTGTGGGTTGCTAGTCTTTCTCTTTCAGTGCTTTGAAGATGTTTTTTGCAGGGAGTTCCAGGAATGCCAGGGCTGATCAAAGGATGTGGCTATGAGGTGGTAATAACATACACAAGCTTTATTGATGACACCTTAGCAGGTTTGCCTGTAGGGCCACCATCCAACAGGGGACAGAGGAAAGGGAACTCCTATGAGAGAAGAGAGTGGAGAGGGGCTTTATGTAGCGAGGTGATGTCACTCAGCAGCACAGGAGGAGTCTCTGGGTTTGAGCTTTCCGAGGGGCAGCAGCAGCAGCTTGGGTTCCTTAGTATAGTTAGCCGATGTTGGATGCAGTTTCATATGGGTCTGCAAAGCAAGCGACCTCTAATGGCTAAACACAAGCTTGTTTAGGCTACATTTAAAACAACTATATATAAAATTTTGAGTTTGCTGCTAGCAGGCTTTTAAGCTAAAGAGGCTCGGTCTGTGGTGAAGAACTAAACAACCTCAGGGCCAATGTACAGCGGCCATGTTTGACTCATTCATGTAATATCTGTCTTCTAGAATCCACCATTTCTGATGAGAAGGAGCCTCATTTATATTGCTGCTGTATACATGAAGTGTCCATTTTCTCAGGCTACTTTTTAAGATTTTTTTTTCTTTGTCATTTTGCTTTATTTGTTTAACAGTTTGTTTAAAACTTAGTTTGTGACAATCTTTGAATATATCAGGCTTGGGATTCACCAAGCATCTTGGCTCTGAAAATTGAAGTTTTTCACCAAATTAGGGTTACTTTACCATTATGTGTTCAAGTTTGTTTGCCCCTCAGTCATTTCTCTACTCCTAGGACTCATTTACATGTATGATAAACCAGTTGAAATTATTCTAGAAGTCCCTCAGGCTTCAATCACCCTTGCACGATCTTTTATTCTCTGTTCTTCGGATTGAAGAATTTCTGTTGAGCTGTATTCAAGCTCACTGACTGTGTCTTATGTGGTCTCCAATCTGTTCATTCAGTAAATTTTTCATGTCAGATGGTAGGTGTGCTTTTCTTTTCTAGAATTGCCATCCCTTCTCCCCACCCCCCCCCCAAGTCATTTCTGCTTTTCTGCTGAGATTTCTGTATATTTCCACTCATTTTGGTAATTTTCCCTGTAAGTCCTGCATCTTCATATTCTGCTTCTATGGACTGATTTTTTTAATGAGTTATTTTTCCACTTCAACAATATTTTTTATTATACACTGGACATGATAGATGATAAGTTGTAGGGCCTTTGGTTTATGTCATATTCCTTATAGGAGCTGGGTTTATCCTATCTGGCAGTCAGTTCCCTCTGATCCTAGGGGCCTGGTTTATTTTTCGTTATGGCTGAGCGTTTTCATTTTGACCTTTTTTTATGACTTGGTATTTTGGGCATATTAACACCTGGAGGTTGATGAGGCCTCTTGGCTCTAGCTGGATAAGTACTCCCAAGTCTTTTAGCCCAGTCTGTCTCTGGGCACCTCTGTCTATTCCCAGGCCTGCAGTGGTAGGTGGTATAGTATCTAGGCCGCAGGCATGCACAGACCAGCCTTCAGTCTGGGACTCATGCAGCCTCTGGGCCACCCTTCCATGCAGCCCCCTGTTCTTTAGTGCTCTGCCCTTCAAGTTCCATAGTTTTCTCAGTGAGAATGTGGTCTTGGCTGGAGTTCAGCAACCTGTGCCAGGAGCCAGACCTGGCTGTCAGGAAGCCAGGACCTGGCATTTTGCTCTTCTCAAGGGATCATTGTCCTTTGCTATTATTCACTGTCTTCCCCTTCCCCCAAATTTCCCTCCTATAATTCTGTCCTAGTTTATTGCTTTTAATGGCAGGAAGATACCTTTATTACTCCCTCATGGATGAAAGCAGAAGACATCTACTTGATTGGAAAAACTGTTGCATTCTGTGTACAAATATTTATTAGACTCCCTATAAAAAATATTGCATTAATCTAAAACCAAACCTTCCCACTAAATCCCAAGGGTTTGTTTTTCCTTTGAAAATTATTTCCCTTTGGTAAAAGTGTCTGTTCAAATCATTTGCCTATTGCTAAAGTAGTTATTCTTTATGTTGAGTTTTAAGAGTTGTTTATATATACTTGATATAATAAGTCTTCTGTGAAATAAGTGATTTGCCAAATATTTTCTTCTAGTCTATAAGTTTTTTTTCCTTTCTCTCTGACTTTCCAAAGCAAAACATTATTTTTTAACTTTACTGAAATCTTAATGTATCAATTGTTTCTTCTATGGATCAAAATTTTGGTGTTAGCTTCCCCCCACCCTTCCCCTAATCCAAGATCAAAGTATTTTCTATGTTTTGGTAACAGTTCTGTAGTTTTACATTTCACATTTAGGCTTATGAACCATTTTTAGTTAATTTTTACATATATTTTGTGTGATATTTTAGGTTCTTATTTCGCATACAGATGTCTGTCTTATCAATTGCCCCATAACAAATTAAGCCCAATTTAGTGGCTAAATACTAAGCAACATTCCTTGGCTCCTAGTTTCTGTGAATCAGGTATCTGGGAGCAGATGAAATGGCTAGTTCTGACTCAGGGTGTCTCATGAAGTTGCTATCAGCCATGGCGGAGCACCTCAAGGTTTACCAGCTCAGCCACATGGCTGTTGGAAGGCCTTAGAAGGTTACTCCTAAATGATTCCTGTGGGGATTGGAGGGCCTGAGATGTTTACCATATGAGCCTATCCATAGGCTGCTTAGGTGTCCTCATCCCATGGCAGCTGGCTTACACTAGCACAAGTGGTTCAGGGAACAGAGATAGTGGAAGGTGCAACCAAGACAGAATCAGTCTTTGCTAACCTGATCTTGGAACTGATACCCTGCCGGCGTTCTTGTCCAAGCCTTCCAAAGGGTTCAGCAATCTGGAGAAAGGGGCTGCACATAGATTGAAGAAGGAGTCCAAGGACGAAAGATAATTTTGAAAGACATTGGGGGGGTCAGAGGATCTTCAACTAAAGGAATTGAAGACTACCTCCTTGTCTAGGACCCTTGCTTTTATTAACACAATTTGTCCTAAGGCAAGGTGGAGATATACACTTCCAAGGGTAAGGTTTCAAAAGGTAGAATTTACAGAAGTATTGTCAGATTTGGGAATAGCCTACAGCTGTTCAGGTATTTGGCCAAAAGGAGGCAATAAAATGCCCTAGCTATCTGGCAGTAAGCAGTCCTATTCAGGTTTGGGGGAGATGCTTCTTAGCCATCCCAGATGATTCAGCCCTGCTGACATGCTGGAACTGGCTTCTGGAAATATCCCTTCTTGTCTGCTGTTGTTTGCTTGCCAGAAGCAAGTCCAGTCCACATAGAAGGAGTGAGGATGTAAGCTCCATGTATTAAGAGGGAAAGTACAAAGGATCAGTGGACAGCATTTGAAGTCACCACAATGTTGAATTGTTCCAGCACCATTTGTTCAAATAAACAAAACAAAAATTGTTATTTTTCAATTAAATTGTCTTTTCATCTAGGTCAAAAATTGTTTAAATGTATGTGGGTTTATTTTTGGACTATCATTTTGTTCCATGGGTTAGATGATTTTATAGTAAGATATATAAAATATTCAAAATCTTGTTAAGTTTGAATGATTGGCGATCAGAGCTCTATTTCACTTTTATGTAACTACACTGCATTCTTTTCCAGCCACACAGGTGTCCTGCTATTTCACCTCCATGGGGGGTGGCCTCTGGGCTTTGCACACTGATAGTAATGTGGACATAGGAATCAATGTGGGCTGGAGAGATAGAAGATTTATAGCTAGCCCAGAGGGCTGTGGACAAGGCAAAGCTTTTATCATCATGATCTTTCTTTCCTTCTCTAAAGGACTGGAACCCCCGCGAGGGAGCCTTGAAACATGGGGCTAGGTTCTCTGGGGCTGAAAGCATTAGACATCTGGCTAAAGTGTAAGGGCCAGGGCTTGGTTTTTAATGCTTTTTTAAAAACAAAGACTAGAAGGGAGAAAGGAGATATATAACTTAATGAAATGTACAGTGAATCTTACTATAAAATTATTATTTTCATAATAAAGGCTCTTACACCTCAGTGTATGTATTTTTATATTTTTTATGGTCAAAGTTTTATATATTTAAGGTTTTGTGGTTTGTTTTTTTTCTTAAACAGAGCACACTTGTACCTTAGTTGATTAAAATAAAAACATGTTTTTAGAAACAACTTGAAGGTCTTCCAGTTTCAATAAGAGCAATATTCTGAAATATTTATAATTTTGTATTCCTAATTTACAACCCTCAGGTGATTTACATATATCTGTTTCCTGTGTGCGTTAGATTATACCTCAGGAAAATGACACCCGCTCTAGCCTCACATATAAGTACATCATCCATGAAGACTCTGCACCTACAATCAACAACAACAATGTCATCCAGGAAGAATTAGACACTTTTGAGTGGGCTTTAAAGAGCTGGTCTCAGTGCTCCAAACCCTGTGGTGGAGGTAACAGTTGACACATGTATATTTTTACTAAGCAATTCATATTAAGCCAATCTGCTTGCTTCTGCCTTAAAAATTATCTCTAATAGAGGCCATAATCTGAGAATGCCCTGCAGAGCTCAGAGCTAAAAGATAAATACAACACATTTTTACCGAAATTTCAGAACCTTCAAAGGGTAGGATTCCATTCATAAATGTAGACTTTCTTAAATCCTCTTTCCCTTTCCCCTGAGTTCTTTCAGTCTCCTGTTATGTAAGGTTCGCTTTATTCTTCCCAAACTCTTCCCAAATTCAGTGTCCTTCAGTGCCTACCTTCTGCACTTTTACTTTCCATACCTATGTGTTTCTTTTCTATCTAGTGTTAATAGTAAAAGAACTATTAGTTGTATTTTGTACTAGGTACAGCTTTAAATACTTTACATTTTAATGCATGAAGACTCATATGCCGCTGTGAAGTCGCTTCTATTATTTGTCTGTTGTATTAATGGAGAAACTGAAGCACAGGGAAGATAAATAATCCATAAGGTCAAACCCAGTAGGTCTGACTTCTGAGTACGTACTCTTATTACATTATGCTGCCTCTCTGCCCTCCCTAACATAAAGCCATTAAGCTGTTCTCATAGGTTCTCCGTTTCCCCCATTATCCATTCCTCTTGTTCCTAACAGCAGTGCTCCAGAATCGGGCTGGCCAAGAAAGAATTCTCCCAACAGGAGAAGGCCAGGACCTCTCATAATATTGGCACTGACTAATTGAAAACCAAAGATTATTAAATAATTTATTTGATTTTAAATTCAAGAATACATTTCTAAAGTGTTGTGTTTTTTTTTGGGGGGGGGCAGGGAGTAGGCATAAAGTGTTTTAGTTACTTATGTAAAACAGCACTTTATTCATTATACGAAGTTTATTTAATTTGGATCTTCCCTCCTGTTGCACCCTCAAGCACTGACTTGGTCACAAGATTTGTCATTTGTCATATACCTTTTTAACATCTCCCACATCTATTCCTTCCTCATGGGCTTCCTTCACAATTTTGGAAGAGAAGATAGTTGCAAAAGTCTCTTAGGGGACTTTTGATTTTCTTCTCTTCCTTTATTTACAGGGTAATCTTTCTTGAATGAATGAGTGAATGCATTAATGAATTAATGTGTAGAATTATATTATTTCCTTGATTCAAATCCTTTAGTCTCTTAATCCTTGCCCTGAAATACAATATAACTTATGTACTATTCTTGCCAAAAGTCAATAACCTGAATCTGACCATTAGAAACTATTAAATAAATCCAAATTGTGGGGCATTTTACAAAACAACTTGCCTGTACACCTCAAATATTTTAAAGATAAAGAGTCTCAAAGACTGTTACTGATTAATTCCATGACAACTAAATATCCTTGACTCAAAAAACATTGCAACACAGAACATTGTAAGAACAATTGAAAATTTTGGGGTAATCTCTCTCTCTCTCTCTCTCTCTCTCTCTCTCTCTCTCTCTCTCTCTCTCTCTCTCTCATATATATATATATATATATATATATATATATATATATATATGAATGAAGATAGCAACCAGAACACTGGAACCAGAATGACATGTCACTGTGACATCCACTGTGACCAGCAAACCAGCCCAGTTGAGGAGTGGGGCTGGTCGGCCAACCTCCCATGGTCCCTTCCTCCCACCTGGGTCTACCCCTGATTGGCCACTCCCACCCCAATTGAGAGCCAGGCACTGACTAACCCTTTCCCACCACAGCTCCTCACCCAGCCAGCTCCTCTCCCAATCTGCCTGCCCCACTCTGATGGGCCCACAGCCCCTTCTCCTGGCCGGCCCAACCCCTGATGGGCTCCCACCACTCCAATTAACCACAGCTCCTCACCCTGCCTGGCCCCATCCCAGATAGGTCCCCTCACCGCCCCCATCAGTTCCATCACCCTGATTGGCTTGTGGCCACTTCCCCAGCCAGGTATATCCCTGATTGGCCCCCCACACACCATTCAGGTGTGGGGCTGGCTGGCCCGCTGCCCACACCCCCCCTCTAACCTGTATGGGCAGGGCCCTCTAGCCAAAACACCTGTGGTCCCTCCCCCCAGCTGGCCCAGCCTTGATTGGGGCCCCGATTAAAGCCAGCTGGCCAACCTCCTGCCATCTACCCCTCTCAACAGGCCTGGCTCCAATCCACCTGATTGGGTTCAGGCCAGCCAGACCCAACATGTACACAAATTCATGCACTGCACCTCTAATCTATATATATAAAAGCCTTTGTGACCATTATGATTGATTGCTATGACACACACTGACCACCAGGGGCAGACACTCAATGCAGGAGCTTATCCCTGGTGGTGAGTTTGCTCCCACAACCAACCTTCAGGGGCCTGCCAACCTCCTGCAGTCCTTCCTCCCAGCTGGCCGGCCCCAATTGGCCTGATTGGGACTGGGCCCGATAGCCCCAATCAACCACAATCACCTGCCAGGCCAAAGGACCCCATCTGTGCACGAATTCATACACCGGGCCTCTAGTTATGTAATAATATTAGATTTCCATTAAATATCCTAACTTTAGGAATTATAGTGTGGTTATATAAGAAACTGTGCTTACTCCCAAATGGTTCAGCAGAATTTTACATATGTGTTACATAATCATTATATTTAAATTAATATATGTATATATCTCAAATGCACATAGCATGACATGGTAACACAAGGTTAATCTATCGATAGATGCAAGGTATACAAATGTTTATTATGCTTTCCTTACAACTCTCTTTAGGTTTAAAATTTTCAAAATAATTTACAAATGTGGAAGTTGTTCGTTGAAGAGATCTTTAATAATTCCCTGTGACCTTCAAAATAAAATCCAACACTTGTCTGGTAGTCAAGGCTTTTACCTGGAGCCTTTCCTATCTCCTACCCACTTCACACGTGAAACTTCAGACATTGAAAGAGACCTGCAGTTTTCTATAGGTCATTTCCTTTGCTTGGAGGGATATTCTGCTTTATCCCCTTTATGCAATACTATTTGAACTTCAAGATTCTACTAAAGGAAGTACTGATCATATAAGAAGGTTTCCCTCTCCTTCTCCAGCTAAGTTAGAGACTTCCCCTTCTGTGTTGCTTTGGTGCCCCCTACAGTCCATTATGGACATAATTCCGAAAAGCCTAGGTCACAGGTTATTGTCACAGTGGTTTTCAAACTTGTCCTTACTAATAGAGTCTCTATATCCAGGGTTCAGTTTATTAGCAAATATATGGTTACTATTTAATAATTTATAATATTTGTTAAATGTAGGCTCTGAAAAGAAGTTTAATTTATTTCTGGATCTTCAGCAACTAGAAAAATGGCTGGTTTATTATATGCATTCAATAAATATTTGTTGAATGAATAAGTGATTAAATATAAAGAAAGGTATCTCCTTTCCCAGGTTTCCAGTACACTAAATACGGATGCCGTAGGAAAAGTGACAATAAAATGGTTCATCGAAGCTTCTGTGAAGTCAACAAAAAGCCGAAACCTATTAGAAGAATGTGCAATATTCAAGAGTGTACACATCCACTGTAAGCATTTACTTTAACTATCATACCCTGAGGACAAAATAGTATGGATTTAAATGTCTTTAGCACTTTTTAATTTTAGTCATAGCTAATACATTATCTGGTTTAAATAGGCCCAGGAATTATTTGAAGCTGTGGTTCCCTGATCTCTTTTCAAAAATATATTCCTTCTTCTCAAAAATATGTTTTTATATTTGGTAAAAATAATTAAGTATAGGCAGCTAGGGCCATCTCATAATTCCATATGTGGATTTTTACATAACACCATGTATTCATTATGGTTTCTTTCTCTATTGTCCCTTGACTGTATGAGTTAAAAGTCTGATTTACCTTCTACAGAAGAAAAAAAAAAAAAAAAGTCTTCTTCTGGGTTACAAGAGGAGCAGTCACCAGTGAAGTAAAACATTATGAGGCCTGCCCAAGCCAGTTTGGCTCAGGGGTTAGAGCATCAGCCTGCAGACTGAAGGGTCACAGTTTGATTCTGGTCAAGGGAACATGCCTGGGTTGCAGCTCGATCCCCAGTAGGGGATGTGCAGGAGGCAACCAATCAATGATTCTCTCTCATCATTGATATTTCTATCTCTCCCTCTCTGCTGCTGCTGACCTAAACTTCATTTTCTTATGTCAGCTAACTACTCTCTAGGTTCCAACATTATCTTGTGGTGCCTTCTTTTCAAATTTTTTTCTTTTGGCCTTTGTGCCATTTTTCTCATTTGTTGTCATTCTAGGAGTTTCAACATGGAATAAGGTAACCATATTGTCTATGATATTAAGTGTATGTTTCTCAAGTAATTCCCATCTTCAAATGAGAGTCACTACCAAGACCTTCAAAATGAGTTGCCAGAATACATGGCGCTGCCTGTTTGAAGAGCTAGAGCTATCTTAAGCTGTTAATACCAAAGACTGAAAGGTTTTAGCATGGTTGTATATATGGAAAGAACAAAAATTGCAGAGGAAAAGTAACTTTAGAAAGTAACTTTAAATAGTATGCCTCAACTACATTCTGACAGGTTGTTTAAGCAGATGGAATCGGCAGTCAGTCCTCGGGAACCTGGTAATCACATGTAATGGAGAACTGCCTGCAGAATTGTATACACGGCTGATTTGGAGAGTACTGCGGACATTGACATTGACACTAGAATTTGAAAATGTCCCATGGGAAATCTTTTTGAAAAGATTTTAGAAATATTTCTTTCAGGTGCATTCAAGCCCTGAAAGGCCACTTCCTTTACATTTTGTCAGACCCATTCAGGGCCAACATGAAGAACTGAATTTCCCAAACAAAATAGATATGTCAGGCAACCTTCATGGCAATGATGGCAGAAGTAAAAGTCATCTCAGAAAATGAAAAATGAATTAGTTCATGGTTTCATGGAAAAAGCAGCAGCAGCCCAATAAATTTGTGTTAGCAAGCGTAGGATGGATTCCTTTCTTTATAATTTCCTTTCAGATCTTTAATGCCATTAGGCAGTATGGCTGAGAGTGAGCTGGTATTATTTTGTAAGCTGCCATCGTGTCTAAACCTAACCAGGTATCCTTAAGATGAGTTTCAGAAACCTTCTGTTGGTCATCCTTTAGGAATGGAGAAAGTTTCCGAATCATTGGGAGGCAGAAAAATCCTAAGCCATTCAAAAATAGAAGTGTCAGGCCTATCATTGTTAGAAAGCTCTAAAACCTTTTTAATTGTTTAATGCATCCCTTTCTCTGAAAGTGCTTCCTCTATCACGGTGGGCCCCGCTAGGTTGCACGTCATAGGACCGTGGGCCCTGCTGGGAGAGCAGGAGAGACTAGGCTTGCAGGGCAGGAAGGTGCACATTCTACACCCCCGTGACCATGTTCGCTTCACCTCTACCCCGACAGCTGGATAGCAGAAGAGTGGGAGCATTGCACCAAAACCTGTGGGAGTTCCGGCTACCAGCTTCGCACCGTGCGCTGCCTTCAGCCCCTCCATGACGGCACCAACCGCTCTGTGCACAGCAAGTACTGTGTGGGAGACCGCCCCGAGGGCCGCCGGCCTTGTAACAGAGTGCCCTGCCCAGCTCAGTGGAAAACCGGGCCCTGGAGTGAGGTGGGTGTGTGAGCTCAGCCTGCACGCGTATGTGCATAAAATAAGAAGCTTGTTTTCATCTGGCTTCAATATCAGGCAGGCCTTGTGTGAATTAAGAAACTTGCATATTCTAAAATCATTAAGCACCTGGAAATGTTTAAAAATTTTATATTTTAATGCAGTGGTTGCATTTAAGATTAGTTGGTCGAGGCAAACCATGTTTGGGTGTTCTGTGACAGAGAGGAGTCTAAAGGTGACTGATCTTCTGTTTAATATATTTGTTGACTTCATCATTCCTATGGGTTAATTCCAAACCCCTGACATAGAATGCAGGCCCTGCCCCATTTGGTACCACACTAACTATCCTTTTTTTTTTTTAATTGAGGTGTAATTAACACATTATATTAGTTCCAGATGTACAATGTAAGGATTAGATATCTGTATATATTGCAAAATGATCACCATTAAAAGTCCTACACTGACTCTTCTTATTTGTTCTTTATTCAAACTCTTTGACCCATTTTGAGTAAAATTCTCACTGTTCCAGAGACACTTTTCTGGGTAGAGCCTCCTAACTTTTGAAGATTGGCCCTTCCCCCTCCTCCTATCTGCCCATCTCCCTCTCATCTACCAAGGCTCATCTCCTGGGCAACTTTAGAGATATTTCTCTCAAAGCCCTTCCTTTGCACCCGAAGGCGTGTTGTTCATGGCGGGTTGCTCTAACTCCTGTCCTTGAGTCTGGGCTCACTGCTAACCCACCCACTTCTCAAGAACTGTGTGCCCTGCCTCCCCAGTAGCCAGCTGGTGCCTATGAAAATGATGTTGGTTTGGTGACTGGCTGACTCAATGTTGGGGTGCCTGAATTAACATCTTTGATATTTATAAAAAATCAAAATGCGGAGTCATAGGAAAAGAGCTTATAGAGGGAAATGGCATCAAAAGGCAGCTAGAGAGTGAAGGAGGAAGTGGAGAGCAGCCCCTAGAAAGGACAGGAAGTGAAGGTCACTCAGACAGACCATAAAGATAACTAACTCGTTCTTTGCCCCTCAGAGTCCTGGAATGAGGACCCCTTTTCTGTAGCTCCTGTCTAGAACAATAGATAGATGTTTCTGAGCATAGTTTTAGACATGAACTTATGGGAATAGAGCAATTGTGGTTTCAAAGATATTGAATTAACCAAGGTAGCATGTCAAGAAGTGTTGCCATCTGTAAGGAAGGTGAGAAAATATGAAGTTCCCTGAAAACAGGCATCACTACCATTTTAAGAACTACATGGCTATTAACATTACAATGCTAATAGCTTGCTCTTAGCACATGCTTATTACATGCCAGGCCTAATCTTTACATGCCTTGTCTCCTTTGCCTTCATTTAGTTCCACACCAATCCTATGAGGCAAGTATTATTATCCCAGCTTTCAGAGGAAAAGCCACGTGCCCAGGCTGGTAAACGATGGAGCCCCAGAGTATAAGCCTAGGATTATCTGTCTCCAAATCTCTGTGTAGCACCGCCTCCATTGAGAAGGAACTCCAGGGTGTGCATGTGTGTATGCGTGCGAGTGCGGAGACAGGAGGAAGGACGGTCTTGGTGCGAACACCATCTATAATGGCAGCCTTTGTCTCTGTAGTGCTCCGTGACCTGCGGTGAAGGGACGGAGGTGAGGCAGGTGCTCTGCAGGGCTGGAGACCACTGCGACGGGGACAAGCCCGAGGCCGCCAGAGCCTGTCAGCTGCCTCCCTGTAACGGTAGGTGTGACACTTAACTGCTTTCACTGCTCCGACAATGGTTTTTAAGCACCAGCAAGCAGAATGTCCTTTCAGGACAAGCTCTGGAATTTCCATTTGCTTATCAGTAAATGACCCAAGGTAGACAGTCTTAAAAAATTAGCCTAATACTGTGCTTAAGAATTCCAGCCAGGGAATTGTCCTAACCACTGCCGTACTGGGGCCAGGGATGTGTCCCGTACATGTAGCATCTGTCAATGTGTGTTTCTAGAAGAGCTTATTTTCTTCTTTGATTTTCTTTATAACCTCCTATCATTGTAAAAGCGTCATGTTGTGGAAGGTTCTGAAATGTTTTACTAAAGTTATTCAGTATAGACATGATAAATGCTATTTAAAAAGCCATTTCTAATATCCATCCACCTCCACACACTCTTCGAGAGTGAGTTCCAAATAAACACCATTCACATGCAGAAACCTGCCAGACCTGCTCTCTTGCTGGATTGCAAAAGCAGAATCAGTTTTATTTAAAAAATAGACAGTGCTTTGCTGTTGAGAAACATAAAATATATATTGGATGGTTTCAGTTTCTGTCTCCTTTTCTGTGCTGTCTCCATCCTCTCTTCGTGTTCTCCTGCGTCCCTTCTTCCTCTACATACCTTCCCTTCTCACCCTCTCTCTCTACTTCCCATCTCTTCCTCAGGTCTTCCATACTCTCCTTTGTCTTTCTCCTCGAGCCTTTCTCTACCATGTATGTGTGCCTGTCTCTTCCCAGTCTCATACATTCTCTCCCTTCTGTCCTCTCTTTACCCTCCCTCCATCACAAGCTTTCTCTTAAATGCACTTATACTAAGTCTGTGCCTAATTACAACTGTAGCCACTGCACATATCTACTGGTGAGACTTGGGACTAAAGAAATTGCCTTTAGCCCTGACTGGTCTGGCTCAGTAGATAGAATGTAAGCCTGTGGACTGAAAGGTCCCAGATTTGGTTCCTGTAAAGGGCATGTACCTTGGTTGCAGACACATCCCCAGTGGGAGGTGTGTGTGGGGGGGAGGGAGGGAGTAGATGGATATTTCTCTCTCATCGATGTTTCTAACTATCCCTCTCACTTCATCTCTGAAAAAATCAATAAAACATAATTTTTAAAAAGTTGTCTTTCTAATGATCTGCAATATCATAACTAAGACATTGATTGAATATTGACATGTGCTAAATGATTTATTTTTTCAAGATAATTTGCAAAGCACTATTTTATCAAATGTATTATTATTTTTTTTTTTTTTGAGGAAATTTATTACAGAGTTTCATTTGAAATGTGTAGTGGTATGAATAAGAATGACCATGAGGGGGAGACAAAGAACTTGAATTTCATCATTTTCCTCTGGAAAGTATATTTGAAAGTTCAAAAACACAACATCAGGTCCAGAAGAACACACTTTATTCAGAAGCTATAAAGTTTAGTTGCTCTAATATTTTATTTTTATGTAGGCATTACCTCCAGGAGGCTAAACACTTTGTGAGTAAGCTTTACTGATGTTAATAGAGCTATGTATTTCTAGAAATATGCCTAATTATCAGCAAGAATATACTTGATTCTCTTCCTTTTTAGCTAAAAGAAAATGTTTTTGTTACAAAACTGGGGTGCTGATGGGAGGACATAACAATGTCATGTTAGTGATTCCACATCCTTTTAGCTTTTCTCTTGCTCTGAAATGTAGAATTCTCAAAGGTCACATATTTCTATCATATATCAATGGAGTAACACTTCCCATTAGAGACTCAAGCTGCAATTATTAATAGAATCAAATGGTCTTTTGAGACCTTGTATAATCATCTTTTTCTGAACTTCTTAGGATGATCTGGGCATGGAGTGAGAAGGCTAAACAAGTTCTCTTAATTTTAATAATTTTGTCATATGAACCCTTTTCTAAGCCTTGTTTTGCTTGTACTATTTATGGTTGCCATTAAGCCCTTCCCATCTATCCCAAGGCAAATTACCCATGAAATTATCCTAAGACAAATTACCCATGAAATTAATGCATTCCTTTACTCTTATTTTCCCCCAGAATATCTCCGTCTTTTCCCTCTTCCATAGAGAAGCATATTCTGGCCATAATTAGACCCAGGCTGTGTGCCTGTCCCTGCAATGCTAAGCTGCTCACACTTAGACACAGAAGACCCTTATATGATCTCCCTCTTTAACTCAAAGAGAATAGAGTGCTTTGAACTGGGCCACATAGTTTATTTACCTATTTATTTTTAATGAAGGAGTTTGAGTTTTAATATTTTTTTATTGATTTTACAGAGAGGAAGGGAGAGGGAGAGAGAGAGTTAGAAACATCGATGAGAGAGAAACATCCATCAGCTACCTCCTGCATGCCCCCTATTGGGGATGTGCCCACAACCAAAGTACATGCCCTTGACCGGAATCGAACCTGGGACCCCTCAGTCCACAGGCCAATGCTCTATCCACTGAGCTAAACAGGCTAGGGCTGGGACACATAATTAAGAATGTTTCAAAAGAGTTGGAGCCAGAATGAGAGTGATGGTGGTCAGGAGTCAGTGGGAAATGGGTACATGGTTAGATAAGGTCCATTATCCTAGGGCCTAAAGGCTTAATTACACAGGAAGAAGAAATTACCTTCCTTATCCTATATAATAAAAGCCTAATATGCTAAGTGTCCAGTTGTCCATTCAACCAATCAAAGCGTAATATGCTAATGATATGCTAAGGCTGCTCAACCACTTGCTATGACATGCACTGACCACTGGGGGCAGATGCTCCAACTGGTAGGTTAGCTTGCTGCTGGGGTCAAGCCATTCGGGACTAAACAAGATGGACTGGACATGCCCTGGAGCCCACCCATGTTCCCTCCCCAGCTGGCCAACCTCCCACACCCCGATCGTGCACTGGTGGGCTCCCTCAGCCTGGCCTGCACCCTCTCACAATCTGGGATGCCTTGGGGGATATCAGAAAGCTGGTTCTGGCCCAGTCCCACAGGCCAGGCCAAGGTGCATAAATTTGTGCACAGGGCCTCTAATTTTAAGATAATAGAAAAAGTCATTTAGAAAAAGTCATTTAGATATGATGAGGAATTGATTCTCAGATATTCACAACATAATTAGAAGATTACTTTAACTAATAGAAAATACTAGTACTCAAAGATCATACTATATTGTAGATTGTAAATGTCAGACAAATATAAGTCATTCCACAGTTTGGGACGTGGACATGGTTCTGTAACTCCAATCGGTAAGTAATTTATCATTTGTAATACATAATAAGTAAATGTATTTTTAACCCTCCTATTGGCCTTGCCAACTGATGCTTCTTTTGTTCTTTTTCACACTCCAGAGCAAAGATTCTTTGACAAGGTATATGTCAAGGTTCCTTACTTAGTAATATAATATTAGCCAATAATACATCTAATTAAAATGTTATCTCAGTTTTTTCTTTAGTAATATATTTTTAAGATTTAATTTATTTTAACAGGACTTTAGTATATATTTTGATTTTAAATTTAATACAAAGGCTACTCTATATTATAAAATAAAATAACTCAGATGCTTCTTCACATCCTACAAATATATGTGGTAAAATTAATCCTATTTTCTCAAAATTAGATATATGTTCTTAGTGAGGAAAAAATATTACCCTTGCTCTGAAGACTCCTGGTGGAGATATTAAAATGGTGGGCAACCTACATGCTTTGCACATAAAGAACTACTTACTGCATTGAATTCATCCTCATGCTGATATCTATAATGTAAAGGTTCTCGTGAACAACTCCCATCAATGTCTGGTTTTACTTAAATCTTTTGTAAATTCATAAAAGTTTTTGTTTTTTTAATTTTTGCAGATGAGCCATGTTTGGGAGATAAATCCATATTCTGTCAAATGGAGGTGCTGGCGCGGTACTGCTCTATCCCAGGGTATAACAAGCTATGCTGTGAGTCCTGCAGCAAACGCAGCAGCACCTTGCCCCCGCCCTTCCTTCCTGAAGCTGCTGAAACTCGTGATGAAGTTATCTTTCACCCCAGTGACCTCCCAGTGTCCCTAGTGATGCCTACATCTTTGGTTCCTTACTATTCAGAGACTCCTGCTGAGAGGAAGAAATCTTTGAGTAGGATCTCTTCCATGGGAGGTCCAAATGCATATGCTGCTTTCAGGCCAAACAGTAAACCCGATGGTGCTAACTTACCCCAGAGGAGAGCTCAGCGAGCAGGAAATAAGACTGTGCGACAGGTCTCCCCTGCCACCAGGGGTGGCCACCTCACTTCATCCTCACAAACAGCTGCTGCCCCCTTCCTTGCAGTACATGATTCAACAGGTGCTTCTTCTCAGGCAAGAACCTCAAAGAAAGAGGAAAAGATTCATGACAACAGACAGCCGCTAAGGTCGGCCACCTTGGAGAGATGAAAAGCTGAGCCTAAAAGGCTAGAAATCAGAGGAAAGCCTGGCCAAACTCCCTCTCCCAGTGGTGCATACAGCTTGTTTAACGTGAAAATCGCCATACATTATCAACTCATTTTACCTGTAAATGGAAGAGCAAAAGTGCTGGTTCACTTTCTAGTTGTTTTCCTCCTTTTTTTGTTCTGCATTGACTCTTTACCAGAATTAATTGGAAGAAAGCACCCAAGAGCATTAACAGAGGGAAAGTGGCTAAGTAAATTGGTCACTCTCTACAGCAGAAAAGGGACTGGAGCCAATGGTGCATATCAGCTGATTTTGTTTGTTTGTTTGTTTTAAAAGAGTTATAGTAAAAAGGAGGTGCCAACGGTTTACACCTTAACAAAATATTTTGGAAATGGAGTGAAGAATTTGTAGACTTGTATTCCCTATTTATCTATATTAGAAATGTTGTATGAGCAAATTTGCAGCTGTAGTGTAAATACTGTATATTGCAGAAATCAGTATTATTTTAAGAGATGTGTTCTCAAATGATTGTTTACTATATTACATTTCTGGATGTTCTAGGTGCTTGTCATTGAGTATTGCCTTATTTGACTTTTTTTGGGGGGAGGGGGGTTTGATATTCAAAGCAGAATGTTACAAAGAAGAAGTTAGAATTACAGCTACTGACCATACAAAGGGTTTTATTTAATAACAGTATGATACTTAAGTTACAGAAAAAAACAAGCTGCAGATACACAGATTTCAGCTTACCTATCACTTTCCATCCTTTAATAAAAAGGAATAGGACTGTGGTCACAAGGAACGGAGACCAGTCAAGTAACCTGTGCAAGAAAAAAAAATGGAAACCTTCTTACCAGGACCTCAATAGGCACCACTGAAGTGTCCGATGTTTTTGTGTTTTCTTTTTTACTTTCCCATTGTTGACACATCCAAGAAAAAGCATGCTCAATGTACTGTAATAATAACAAAGGAATATGTATTGAGATAATTTGTATGTCGGTAGCTGAACTAGAATTTATACTCGAGTGTAGTAGGGCTTTGGAAAAAGGTTCAAAAAAGCATTTGTCAATGGTTGCAATATTTATTTTCTGCATGGTTCACACACCCAACTGTTCACAACCACAATGCATCTGACTGCAATAATGTGCTAGTAACTTATGCCAGTGATCACCTTACTCACAGTGAAGCCAGAAATGCTCTCTCCAGGGAGTAGGATGTAAAGTACTTGTATATAGAATTCAGAACTGAAGATATTTATTAAAAGTTGATTTTTTTTTCTTGATAGTATTTTTATGTACTAAATATTTACGCTAATATCAATGACATATTTTGGCAAACTAGAGAGACATAATTAGAGATGCATGCTTTGTTCTGTGCCTATGGGAGAAACTTAGTAAACAACAGCCAAATCAAAAGAGCTAAAGCTGAACAAATTTGATGTGGTGTAACCATTTGCAATCTTGAAATGTAGTTGAAATGAAGTTGATTTGTTCCCCTTCAATGAAACAAAATAGTTTGGACTTAGTTAGTTTTTTGTGAAATAGTGAATTAGAAACACTTTTTTTAAAAGTATGTGAAAGAGATATGCACTTCATGAATTATATACTTCAAAGAATAAAGTAATATTCATGTCACCATAATGGTTTTGAGGTCAGTTCCTGAACTGTTTAAAATGTATTATTGCATGCATACATAGACATGTTAACCTTCAAATCACAGAATGTGCAAGGACTTTTGCATTTGAAGCATGATAAACTAACAGCTTCACCTATTATTGACTCTATACCTCCAAGGAATCGCTGCTACTTTGTGCAAGACTTCACATGAGCAAGAAAATCAAATGAGTTAGGTGAATTCCAAATCATAAAATAATCCCCAAGCCTTAAGTAAAGGTTATTCCCCACCCCCAAAAATGAATTCGCTCTAGTTTACTTGCACGTGTATACATCTGGTCCACAGGAGAGTATAAAGATGGTCACACACATCACCTCCCATAAAGATGTACATTCGTTATACTTCTGATCTCGAGCTTCCTTTTTTTAAGCTAAAAAAATTTTTTTTTATCAAAGTGTACACTACTGATGCTGTTTGTTGTATTGGGAGCACGTAGCAATAAAAATGTTAATAAAATGTAGATCTGGCTCCACTGAAGTTTTTATCATTGGATTCATCACTGAGTAATAAAAAGAAAAGTGTTCTTTCCACTTACAAAGTGAAATAGCATCAAATCCATTTGCTAATGGACTTTCTTTAAACTGTTCTAATGAAATAACAGTGTCTGTTAGTCTCACGTCAGGGTGTATCATGATATACTTTAAAAATAAAAATTAGAAAAATAAGATTTTATGGGGTATGGCTTAAGTTCATTCCACAGAATTATGAAGAGGCAGGGAGAAAATGATGATAATGTTAATGCTACCCTTATATATAAAAGGGGATAGACTATTAAAATGCTGCCCACCATCTTAGAACCTTGATTGCCTGAAGATTGATGGGAACCCATCACCCATGACTCTGGAGTATGGGGAGGAATAGGACATCACATTGGAGGGCCTTCCGGGAGTCACCACCTAAAACTTCATATGTAAATGAGTTTAGGTAACCTGGCTAGGTTTCAGTTTCCTTGCCTGTAGAATGGGAGACAGAACTGAGAAACACTATATTGTGTGAGGACTGTGAGAAATAATATAAAGCTGCTAGCATACAGTAACTCACAATTAATAGTGTCATCATCCTTATACTACCCACAGCCTCCTCATCTTCATTGTGTGACCAAACCCTAGCTTTCCTCTAGGGTTCACAGCTGGTTTGAATCATGGTCACTGGGCCTCATTGATAGTGGTAAAGGCTGGAATTTCAGGAATCTAAGACAAAAAAAAAAAATGTAGCTTTAAAAATTGATGGGAAAGACAAACTCATTAAAAATACTCTTCAGTCATTGATTTTTTAAGATTTGTAGCTATTTATGCTTACTCTGCTTTTGCCAACATTAAATAGTCAAACTAAGGAATAACTATTAAATGTATGTTTCTATAAAGGTGGCCATGTGTGCAATAATTCCCTAAATTATTAGCAAAACAGTGTTTCTCATATATTTATATTAATCACTTGGAAGAAATATTAAGTCATTCCTCTATATCTATATTGTATTTTCTTTATGAAGAGGCTGCTCAAATATAAGATTTTAAGAATTGAAAAATGATGAAAACAAAGATATATCACTTGTTTAAAAGAAATACTAATTAAAAGTAAGCAGTTAAAGTAAAACTGCTTAAAATGCAACCCTATCTAATAAAATAGTAATATGCAAATTAACCATCACTCTGCTACACCCACAAGCCATGCCCACATGCCAAGCAGGAACAAATATGCAAATAAACCCAACTAAGATGATTACAGCCACAGAGAGCAGGAGGAAGGCTTGGGTTTCTCTAGCAATGGAGGAAGCCAAGATTTCTGCCTGCCCTTGCCAGCCTAGGCCTCCACTCAAGGCTACAAAGTTTTAATGATAGAAGATACATAAATCCCAAAATAAATGGCTGCCACCACGGAGCAAGCAAAAGGCTACAAAATTTTAATTGTAGAAGATAAATAAACCCCAGATACCAGGGCCTCTGCTTGGGTCTCCACAGGCCGTGGCTGGCCTGCAAACCACCACAGGCCCCTTACTCAGGCCACCCTACACGCTAAGGGAAAATCTACCCTGATCTGGAATACTCTTTAGGGCAAACCAGCTGGCCCTCACCCATGCACCAGATATCTACCCTATCTAATAAAAGAGTAATATGCAGATTGACCATCACTCCAACATATAAGATGGCTGCCCCCATGTGGACACAAGATGGCCACCACAAGATGGCCAGCAGGGGAGGGCAGTGGGAGTAACCAGGCCTACAAGGAAGGCAGTTGGGGACAATCAAGCCTGCAGGAGAGGGCAGTTATGGGCAAATTGACAGGGGAGCAGTTAGGCATCAATCAGACTGGCAGGAGAATAGGGGATGATCAGGCTGGCAGGCAGAAGCGGTTAGGGGCAATCAGGAAGGCAGGCAGGCAAGCAGTTGGGAGCCAGCAGTCCTGGATTGTGAGAGTGATGTCCGACTGCCCATTTAGGCCCGATCCCACTAGGATAGATAGTGGGTGAAGATTTTAAAATACTAACAATAATTTTAGGCCTGGTTCCTCCCAACTGCCTTCTGTGTTGGAGTGATAGTCAATCTGTGTGTTACTCTTTTATTAGATAGGATAGAGGTCTGGTGCATGGGTGGGAGCCAGCTGGTTTGCCCTAAAGGATTTCCCAGATCAGGGTGGGTTTTCCTTTGGGGTGTGGGGTGGCCTGGGCAAGTGGCCTGTGGTGGTTTGCAGGCCAGCCACTCCTCTTGGCAATTCAAGCAGAGGCCCTGGTATCTGGGGTTTATTTATCTTCTACAATTGAAACTTTGTAGCCTTCTGCTTGCTCCGGGGAGACAGCTATTTCTGTTGGGATTTATTTATCTTCTATATCAGGCAGTCGAACATCCCTCAAGGGGGTCCCAGATTGGATTGGGTGCAGGGTGGGCTGAGGGACACCTCCCCACCCCTGTGCACGAGTTTTGTGCACTGGGCCTCTAGTAAAATATAAAAGCCAACCTGGGGTGTACAGGCATTACAATATATCAACTAATATTAGAAAACAGTCATCTGAGGTCCAGACACTTCTGTATAAATCACTTAGAGCTAGAGATAAAAATTAAAGCAAAACAATCGACTGAAATCAATTTATCAAAAGCACAACTTTTAGGACAAAATGAAGTGCTATAAATTTCTTCAAAATCAGAATTATCCCTTTATTTCTTTCCCCCATCCTGATATATGGCAGGTGCATAAAAGGTCACTTGTCTCCTCTGTTGGCACGATAATGTTATTGCACTGACACTGTTGATTGGAAAGGCTGCTCTTTTCCAGCCATTCATACTTTCAAACAAATTACTAATTTAACCAGTTAATTTTCAACCATTTAAAAAAAT